GCTGCGTCGCTGCCGCAGCGTGGAAAGGAGCCGCGGGCGGGGTGCAAGGGGAAGAGCCCCTACAGCTGCTCCCGCCCTCCTAGCACAGCTCGGCTGATGTTTCCACACCTGGAGGGGGCTACGAGGATGCTGAAGGATGGCCCACAAAGCCGAGATCATCTCAGTAAATTACAGAAGGGGTCTAAGGCCAGGCGGCATCTCTCCAGGGAGAAGCTCCATGGGGCTGGGAGCAGTAGGCCCCCAGAGCAGGAGTCAGAGACCACAGGGCTGAGAAGAAGACCTCCCATGAGGCTATATAGAGAGGCCAGGGAGGTAATCCTTCCAGCAAACCCAGCACCAGGGAGGCCACAGCAGCTACCAGCCAGCAAGAAACCAGTGAGCAAAATGCTGCTGGCAACCCCAGCTTGTGAGGAAGGGCTGGACAAAGCTGGTAGATGTCACAGCAGCCGCGCCACAGTTCAGCCAAAGCTGAACAAAATGAACAAAAACTGATTATGAATATCGCCTGCTGATTTGGACACTGTTCCCCCCCCTACCCAGCTCATTCAGCTTTCCCAAACCCCTCCCCTGCATTTTCGAAGTCTGTTTCTTGCTTTTTAAGCTTATTTCCTCTGACGATATTTTGGCGTGATGAGAAACCCAAGGTGACTGTGTTTCTGGCTCCATCTATACAGCTCAGGAAGCTGCAGCAAAGACCCTGGCCAGGGACCATCTCTAGTTACCATCACATCCAATCTATAGCTTTTAAAGAGCAAAAATAACAATTGTACTGCTACCCTAAACAGTAACTAGCTAAACTGTATTACTATGCAACAAGAGTTTACGGAAGGGTTAGGGAGGAGAAATGCACTGAAGTTGGGTGGAAAACAGTCCTTATCCCACCATATGCAGAGCTGGGTAGTTTTGCTAGGTCAGAAGGCACCCTAAAGCAGGCGTCACGCTCACAGCTTTGATCATGCTGAAATAATCCTGCAGTGACGGTTCCCCCAGTGCTGGGATCTCATCCTTTTACAAGCTGTTTGTGTTTCTAGGCAGTACTCAGGATGCTGGAGTGAATCACTGCCCCAGGCTGCATCAGCTGCCTCACCCAGTTGCTCAGCTGTTTTTCCACATAGCTACAATACTTTTTATCATCTGAAACCTGGGAAAAAGATGGCTTGAAACAACACAAGGCTGCCCTTTTCCAAGAACCCATTGGCTCTTAATCCCTATTTTCAGCATAAACCCAACAACCTTGCTGTTACCCGCCCTTAAATGCCACATCCTAGCAAGCAACACCTCATCCTGAGCCCTGCCTCACACAGCAGCTTCTCATAACAAGCTGATGACACTCGTGGAAGAACTGATCCAAATCTCAGCCCCTTCCCCAAGGGCCTGCAGAGATTATTTCTCAGCTAACAGGGGATCAGCCTTCTCCCCCACAGCTACCAGCAACGATCCCTGCGCAAACCTATTCCCTGTTAGCATGAAAAGGCTATGGTGGCATTTGGGAGCTGAGTGAGCCCCACAGCACCCTTCTCCCCCTTGTCACCCCTACCCCTCACCCTGGGGAGGGGGACGTGAGGGGCCCCGTCTGTGGCTCACAGCATCCCTGTGCCATGAGAGGGCACATCAAGCCCGTGGATGGCATCACCCAAAGCAGCAACCAGCTAAGCAGACCTCACAGGGACAGGATACACTGGGAAGGGTGGGTTAGAGAGGAAAACGCGCTCAGGCCCATTTGTGCTGCTGTACACAGGCCTGGGTGGTTGCCAGCAGGTCAAAAATGTCCCTGGGGAGTCAGAGGCTTTGGAAAGAGCAGACTCACAGCTTTCTCAGTCCAACGATGGTAATTCCCCCCACAGCCAGAGACCATCCTTTTAAGATGTTTCCGTCTCCAGGCAGTTCTTCTCATTGAGCTCTCAGTTCCTGGAGGACAGACTGCATGATGCTGGAGGACGTCACTGTCTCACGTCAGGCCCATTATCCTGTTCTCCTGGTTTCTTACTTGCCTGCTTCTTTTTTCCTCTTTGTTTTGCTTCAAGCCATTTTACTCAGTTCTCAAGGCTGCACTTTTCCAAGGACCAGAAATTGTCCACCAGTTCACATCCCTATGAAAAACCCCTTTCCAGTCCATACCCACTTCTTCAAGGTGGTAGCCGATGATCTTCATGTTAGCTCAGCCTTAAATGCCACATCCTGACAGGGGCCACCTGGTCCCAAGCTCAGGTTCACCCAGCAGCATCTCATGACAAGCTGAAAACACATCTGACAGCCCCACTCCTGAGACCTGACACACTTGGTGTAAGACCCTGCTAGCCTAAAGCCCACAGCCTTTTAGCAGGGGAAGGACTGTATTTACAGGGCCATCGATGGCATGGCCAGGCTGTTTGGGACCCTGTCCCCCATGCAACCTCCCAGAGCACTCCTGCAGAGCAACCCACAGCTGCAGCACCCCAAAAAGGCTGCCAACCCCTCTGCAGAGACCTCAGCCCCCACTTGCCCTGCCCCCCCCCAGACGGCTGACAGATGCAAAGAGGTAACGGTGGTGTGCATAGCGATTTTGGTTAGATTTTATTGGTTTTTTTGTTTATTTTTTTTTAACCCATATTATTGTTATAATACAAAATATACAGAGTGGAGATGCCAAGCGGGTTGTGGGTCACCATGCCCCGGGGCGGTGGGTCACGCCATGCGACCTGCAGCATGAGGGAGGAGACGGCATCTGCTCCGTGTGGCGGGGGACAGGGGGGACCCCAGAGAGCCTGGGAGGTAGAAGGACAAGGAGAAGGAGATGGGAGGGGTAGGGGTCGGGATACCTGCCCTCGTGCCCTTGGGAAACTGCAAGTGGGAGCTCAGCCCCACAGCAAACCCCGGAACAGGACTGTGAGATAAAGAATATGTTGAATGAACCTAAAAAAACACATCATGTCTGCAAGGGCTAGGCCAGGGATGATTCCGCTGGGGAGCAGCCCCGTAGCTTTGGCTCAGGGCCCTGAGAGGGGGGTTCTGACAGCTCCGACACCAGGAGGTCAGCCTGGGTTTGGGGTCCGGCCCAGCGTGGGTACTGGCCTTGCTTACCCCTGCCCCACTGATCCCAGACACCGCAGCTCAGGCCAGCCCCGATCGCCCTTGGCTGCTGAGGACGTGGAGGTTGGAGCAGCAGAGCCGGGGGCGGCCGGCCCCGCGGTACTCGGCGGGGTATGCGGGCAGGACAGGCCTGCCTGCACACACCCAGCTCTGAGGAGCTGGTGGTGACAAAGATGTGGGGAACCTCGGGGTGCTGGCTCCATCCCCAGGGACCCCAGGCAGGCGCTCACATGGCCGTGCTGGGAGAAGGGGCTGAGCCCACCCTGTCCCAGGGTGACCCTCCAGCCCGCTGGAACTACAGAAATGACTTCTGGCTGGCCCCAGCCTTGACTTTCTCCCGGAGGAGCTGCCATCTCTGCCATATCACCAGCACAAGGCTGTGCCTGTGGGGCCACCACCCTGCCCCACTGCTCGCTCCCCGGTGCCCCAGGCAGAGACTGAGTTCGAACAGGCCAGGGTACAGGAGCAGGGGAAGGTCAACAGCAAAAGATGATGGGAGTGTGTCTGTGAGGACGAAGGGCCAGGGTGGCCGCTGGAGCCCAGCACACCTCCCTCCTCCACCTGTCCCCATACCCTGGCTGCCGTGTCCTCAGGGAGGGGTGGGAAGGGTGTCTCTCCACTGGAGTCTCAAAGTGGGTCCCTGAGGTCCCCCGTGTGCCAGCACCCTGAACTCGAGGGACAGGGGCTGAGGCTGCAGCTCTCCCAGCCCAGCATCCTCCATTCTGAGGGACCAGTGCCTCAAGAAGGCACCTCGGGGTCCCTTTAGTCTCGTCTCTCTGCACGTCAGGATGAGCCTCCTAGGTTTAACCGGGCCCCACAGGGTCAGGGGCTGCTCCCCACAGCTCACGCAGTGATGAACCCCAAGTATCCCTTGCGGCTGCCTTTCGCAGGCACAGCCCCTCTGCCCACCCACCGGCCCAGGGGCTGGGGCTGGGGGGGGGCCCGCGGCTCACGCTGGAC